GTTCTCCCCTGCTGGTGACTTTAAATCCTGCTAGAAACCTCTGATCCCCATGGCCTGGTAGTGTACCCAGAGCTGCCAGGCACAGGGTTTAAAATCCCCAGTGAGGGAAGTCCTTTAGCTCTGGCTCCCTTCTCTCCCCTGCCACAAGGACATGATTGTAAGCGGGGCTTCAGTGTGCTGGGACTTAAACAAACAAAACCAAACGCCACATGTGTAATCTGGCTGACCCCAGGACTGCTGTGTCTGGGGTTGACAATTACCTGATCGTTGGGTGTGCTGGGACGTTTAAAAAACTTTGCACCACCAAGCAGCATCGCACATACAGGTTTTAGGTATCTCCAGTACACAAGTAACATTGAATTGGAGAGAGGCTCTCTGATCCTAGGGTCCCCATGTGCCAGGAATGTATGATGCACCTCTGCCTTTCAACGGTACATTCAGCTGGTGCACCATAATCATATAGATGTCCACTGTGATAAAGTGAGACAAACTGTTTAATAGTATTATTGTGTAGACATTTTGGGCATTTGTGGCTTGGCAAGGATGTTTACCCTGATGTTTTGTCCCCCTATAAAGCTTTGTGTTCCCACAAGTGTGATGTCAGTTCACAGCCCAAGAGGTATAACAAAAACCATTTGTGAGATGATTAGTTCTTCCAACTCACTTATTACCTTCCTCCATAGGTTTGTGCAGATCCATAGTATTTTGAGACCCTACCTCAACAGAAGGGAATGCAAATAGAGCATCTATTTTCTCATTGCATTCCAGTGTACCCATTGTGAAGCACATTATTAGTCACTTGATCCCTTTTTAGCTGGTATAACTCAATTAATTGTGCAGCCTCCTAAGTTGTGTTGCCCCATTTACAGTTAGGACTTCCCAGCCCTAATTTTTAAAATTTCTGTTGGGGTGATTTCAAGAATTATACTGGGCCCAAGAAAACCAAAATTAAATGGGTGAGTGGGAGAGGAATTTTTTCAGCTTAGCATTCTACTTTTTTCTCAATCGTTCATTAGAATTATGGTCAGTATTTATAATCACTCCAGAATTTAGATTTTACTTTGGTTAATTAAATAATACTTAACTATGCATTTTGCTGTATTTTTACTTGCTGGAATTGGGTACTTTTCAATTTTAAGCATTTTTTTAATCTTAATTAAGCATTTTTTTCTATTAATAGTATAGAAAATTCATCCGAGTACATAATCTATTGTGATCTTAATGCTACTAACTGTCCATGACCTGGCAATATGCCCTTTTTCAACAGTATTCAGTGGGAATCCTAAGTGCCTGATGCATCTGAAAAATCATACTTTTTGGTCTTAAAAGGAGTATTTGCAAACTGTAGCACCTAAAATTTAGTACATGGCTATGAACGTTTGTCCTTGTTCTTATTTTTAAATGCAAGATTAAATTCTAGCAAAAGCTTTGTTATCTGGCACCCATGTGAAATGGTGGGTGCTGGATAACAAAATATGCTGGTTAATTGAGAGGCCCAAACAGGCCACCACCCCTCCCGCCACATCCGGGGCGTCGCCACCCCTCCCAAGGCTCTGAGGGACAGGGAGGCGGGCCCCCTGCAGCCTGCTATTCCCTGGGCTGTCGGGGCTCGGCAGCACAGGCTGCTTTGCCCTGGGTTGTGGGGGCTCAGCAAAACAGGAAGTGCCATGGTGGGCATTTCCGGTTACACTTTTACCTTACAAGCTGGTATGCTGGCTAATAGAGCATGCAGGCTTGTAAGGTGCCGGTTAAGGCAGCTTTTCCTGTAGTTGTTTCTAGAGTCCTGCAAATCAGAATATAGGAATCTGCAGGATTCACAAGGGTAAAAATTGCTCCATTTATCAGTCACTGGTTTAAATCAATGCATTTTAACTTGTCTATAAAGATACTATGTTGTTTTCCTAGCACAAACTTTACCATACCTGATTTCTTTATAAAATAGAATAATATGTATATCTATTTCCTTAGGAAATTGTCTCTCAAGTTCCACTGTTGCGACATATTATTACTGTGGATGGCAAACCAACAACATGGGCAGAATTTCCCAAGGGTGTCATTGTACACACTATGGTTTCTGTACAAGCTATGGGTGCCAAGGCAGACAATGGTATGTCATTTCATGTTTCCTGGTGGGGTGGGGACAGTGGGGGTGGGGGGAGGTTCTTATTTAGGTTGGGAAAATTGTCCTGTTAAACCTGAGTAAAATTAACAAGTTATTCTTCAAAGTACTTAGGAAAGCATATGGAATTTCACCTTTTTCCCACTTTTTACCTGAGACATTTCAGCAAAGTGGGTTGGAGGGACTCTGCATTAAAGCTATCCTTTACCATCTTTAAATTTCATGTAAATTGAAGAATAATTTTTAAGATGGTCATTATTTTTCAGCGTAAGTGAGCAACATGCATTAGTTTAAAATAGCCAGGATATTCAGAACATATATTATAATATATTTTATGGTAAATGACATTGACTAATTCTGTTGTTAAATTTGGGTATAAATACATGCTTATAAAACCTTTTAAAACCTTAGACATGAAAATTTTTCAGTTATGTTATTGTATTTTAGATGATATAAAAAATTACTATGCCAGTCTCTTGAATTTTTATTTTAATTTCTTCACCAAATTAGAATCGGAAATCTGAATTCCAGTGACATTTATTATCTTGATTTAATTTTAGGAGAAAATTCTTTTTCTTGGCTCTAGGGAGTTGGTTTTTCTCCTTTGTTCATATCTTTTATATGTTAACTTTCTTTTCTGGTATTTTCCTCTTTTTGTTACAGAATCCTTTTAATAATAATTAGGTCATGTGAATGCTTATTGAAGTTGTTTTGGGAGGTGGGGTGGGTGGTTAAAAGGGCTGTGCAAAGCTTTGTTTCCTGATTTGATTCAGTCCAATTTGGTGGCCAAATCTTCAAATCGAATTGAAGGACCCTTTAATCTCTCCGAATCGAATCGGAAAGATTTGGAGATTCAGACATAGACACAACTTTAAATGTTTTTTCTACATACCTCTAGGTACCAGCTGGCTCATGAATACTCCACTGCTGGGGCGCATCGAGTGTCCCACAGGAGCTTGGGGGGCTCCCCAGCGCACTCAGCAGCAGACCTGGAAGGGGACAAGAAGCACTTCTTTTGTCCATTTCCAGGTCTCCCGGGGAGCATGCAGTCCCCCCCTCGCACACCCCACCTCAGCAACTGGTGCCTCCTGGGTCGGGGGGGCACCTGGGGTCCCCCTGCAGCCAATTGCCAAGCTGGGGGAGGGGGGGAAGGGGGTGTGTGTGCAGGGGGAAGTACTTCCGATCCACTTCTGGGTTCACTGCTGAGCACATGTGGAGGGGCCCCCCGCACTCCTGTGAGATGCTCCATCCACCCCAGCATCTCAGCGTTCACAAGCTGCGCTGGTACCTCAAGGTATGTAGAAAAAACATTTGAAGCTGTGTCTATGTCTGAATCGTGATTCTCTGATTCAGCATCAAATCTTCAGATTCGGATTTGGCCGAGTTGATTAGAGACAGTGATCTGACTCAACGAATCAAATCACTGTCTCTGATTTGGGCTGAATCTGAATTGAATAGGACCCGCTTCGCGCACACCTAGTGGTTAGTACATCTGCTGTGGATCACACAGGGCTTATAATTTGGGCAGTTTTTTCCCCCAACACACTGAGTGCTCAAGTGCTCAGTTTCTCCTTTTCAAAGAATAATTCTTCTTTTGAGGTACTAGCCCCGTGTATTATTGCAGTTCTTCAGACCCAACCAACAGAAAGTTCAGTGCTTCAACCTTTCTAATATTAAATGGAAAAACTGCACTTCAAGAATAACTTTTGCAAAAGCAAAACACTCAAATGTTAGGGGTTATTGTTAAAGTGTGGTCATAAAACATATATTCATCCTTCTTGCCTGCAAGCATTATGAAATCTTGTAATTACATAAGCACGTTTTGCTGTTAGACCCCTGCCTTATTCAGCACATGGATGCTTACTCAACGGGCAACACGCTGGGTACAGAATTACTCATTTCTCCTCTGACTTCTGTAACGTTCATCACTAAAAAAAAGTATCTGGACATTTCAAAAGTATTAATTACCTTTACAACCTTCCTGTGTAGGTGAGAGGTAGTATTTATCTCCCAATTTTTTTATATTTGGTTCGGGAACCAGACCCAAGTTGTCAAAAGTGACTAGCAATTTTGAGTGCCCAAATGCCAATGGGTGACTCCTATAGGGCACATCTACACTTGCTGATTTTAAGGTGCTTTAGCCTGATTTTAAGGCTCATCAAAGGCGTGTGTCTACATGTGCATCTACCTGCTTTTGCAGGTATCAAATTTAGGTGCAAATAGCTGAAGTGCCTTAACATACACACAGATGCAGTAAAGTATATTAACGCTGTGTATGTCAACTGACTTGGGACTAACTTGAGTCCCAAGTTGTTCTGCACACCATATTAATGCGCCTTAGCACTTGGTTATTAAAGCAGTATAGGCGCATTAAGTGATGTAGGCATATTAAGTTTAGGTGCATGTAAAAGCATGTGTAGGTACGCCCATAGAGCATTAGTGCATTTGTGAATGCTTACCATTCCTGCAAATCTGATCATGTCTCTTTGGTGTTGGACATCCATAAAATAAGGAACATTTAATTAGTGACCATCTGTGAAAGTCTTGTTTTGTTTTTTTAAGGTCAGATCTGAGGAGAAATTAAGATATTGCAACACTGAGTTTTGCAGTGCATAATTTAGGGACCTGGCCCCCAAGTAGAATCCAGGATGCTGAAGCTCCCAAGTAGAATCCAGAATCCTCTTTACATCTCAGATTTCTAGACCATGCACGGGGAAGGTTAGGGTGCTGAGTCTGAAGCTGCTTAGAGTCAATAGACTGAGTGGGTAATTGCTTTAATACAGCCAATAAGAAATACCAAGGATGTGATTTACCTTAACCCTCTGCTGCCCTACGTTAAGGTTAGAAACCGATGTCATCAGTGAAGCATGATCAGCAGTGTCACTACACATCTCAGCACAGCTGATCACACTCCAGGGACGTCTACAGACATCCCTGGTTTGTGTGTCCCAACTTAGAGAATGTTTGTAAGCGGGGGAGTGGAACCCTGGTTTGCAGAGGTGCCCCCTGTGTTGGGGTGTAGGAGAATCTGCTGCAGGGGATTTCCTCATGCATGCCTACAGGCATGGAGGGAGGGGACTCAAAAAAAACCATGGGCAACTGGTGCACATGCCCCCCCTGACATCAGTCAGTGACTGGGGGAGGGGAGTCCCTGGCAGCTGATTGTGCTGACCAGGGCAGGGGTCCCCCAGCAGCTGATTTCACTCACCAAACAGCGGCTGCACTGCTTCCAGTTGTCCTGCGATCATTTCCGGCATGGCTGCGTGGCATGGCTGCTTTTACTGGCAACCCTGTTCCCTGGCTGGTGCTCGCGGGGGGGTACCAGAGCTCCCCCCTGCCCCCTTGCCCATTGCCTAAGTGGAGAGCGCACCCTGACGGGGTGCACGTGCACCCCTTGTATGTTGCCACTGCAAAAAGAAACATCTCCATGTTTGGAGATGTGTGTGGGGAAATCTCTCTGTAGGGGATTCTCCCTGCATGTATCTGCAAGCACAGGGAGGAAGGTACTTACATCCCCCCTCTGCACTTGCAGTTGTTCTGGGGGGGAATTCCTTTGGAATGTCTGGCTGAATGGGGGAGTGTGGTTTTCCCCTGCCTAGACAGACCCTGGACATGGGTGTGGCTGAGTGGGGAAAGCACCACAAAGGTAATAGGTGTCAGCCACAATAAAGTGGTGGAGTCTGTTACCGCCTCTTGTTGTGCAACTGATTTTCCTTTCACATGGTGCAATGAAAGGCATCTATTTTCTCAGCATTTGTGCCACCATAAAAATGAGACATTAGCTGACATCTCTTTCCACCCTTAATGTTGAGGCACCTTAATCAGGGCTGCGGGGAACTCCCATTCAAGGTTCACAGGATGGGACTTTCTCTCAGGTTACAGAAGACCTGTCTTTCAGAAACAGAGAAGCAATCATTATTTTATTTTAAACCATAGTTTCTAGGATGGGGGGCATTACCTGCATTTGTTTAGTGGGTTGGACCAAATTACCCTTATGATTATCCAGGTTTTGGAATATTCACCCAGGATGCAGGACTCCCAAGTTCAGTTCCCTGTGATTTGAGGATTTTCTGACCCACCTTTGTCATCTTCCAAGACAGTGTGCCTTGACCCCCAGCTTATTATAGATTGTTCTGAGGTGGAGACATTCTTCACCTCTCTTGTTGAAGCTGCTTCACTGTGCAGAAGAGGATGTTTAATGACATAAATAGTTAAACCACTTTAAAATACAGTGTTTTAAAGGTGATCAGATATGTCGGTTTCATCTCCCTGTTCTATTCCATTAAAAGTAGAAACTAAATTGTTGGAGCCTCATTGTAGCTGTGATGGTCTAGAAAACCTATGAAAGGCAAAGATGGCCTGAAAAGGGGCACCTTAGCCTGAAAGTTTGTTCAGCATCTCTCCCAGTGATAAAGTTGATTCAGTAAAAGATATCACAACTAAACTGTTGCAACTTGAAATCTGTTTAATTCAGGTTTATAGTTACAGTATTTTAGTTGCACTATACAATTCTGGGAGTGGACAGATGAAACTCTATATTGGATCAGCTCATGCCCTCTCCCAGGCTCATACCCCTTCTCCCCACAGCCTATTTTAAAATGGTTTAGTGTTACTTTTATCCACAGCTGGAAATCAAGAATCACTGGACCAGAGCAAGAGCCAAAGTGAACATTACTTTGTAGCCTAGTTATTAGGGCAATCATTTGGGAGACTCGTATCTTATATTAAACAGCTTTTGCATTTTATGTGATGGTCATCCCTATAAGTGTACTGTGAAAGTGCCGTGCTGATAAACCCCCTCAGGAGAGAACCTAGTTTCTCGATCCCAACTGGGCTTAGGAATGAGATAAGTGCCAAATTGCTCAGCCTGGACTAAACTGAGGCTTTTGTGTGGTTTAGAGGTAGCAGACCAGGAGTTTTCAATGCTGAAGTTTTTGAATTTGTCCTCAACTTCCAACTACCCCTGTCCCTTTAGATATTTAAATCCTTTTTTTTTTTTTGGTCTTGCTAAATACAAGATTATGTACAAATGTAAGTATGGGAACTCTTGATGATCAGGGAGAGACATCCAATCTCTAGATCCTATTGTACTGCATAAACAAGAAAATACTTTCTTTTCATGTACTTTCCTGCCTCTTTCATTGTGCATTTTTCACCTTCTGCAACAAGTGAATCAGAGGTCGTATAAATAACAGCTTTATTTGCTATGCAAGTTTAATCTTATTTTTGCTGCCAGAGAGTTGGCTGTCCTGACCTTAAATTTCATATTGAATTGTTTAATTTATGTGCACTGTCTGTCCCTGGCACTGAATGAGGTAGTAGTTCCCTGGAGAAAAATCACATATGATCATGCAGTAAGAGTCTATATCAAAGTACATGCAAAGGGGTGCTGAAATAATTTTGTTTGTCACCCTAATTTTGGTAACTTTTGAGTATCTAACATTGGAATTTTAAGATGAATTCAGTGGTTGGGTTAGTTTAAATGTAGTAGTATTCCACATTTTACAAAAACTGAACCAACCCCCCTCCCCCCAAACTCATTTTGGTTATAACCACCATCTTGGCTCTGAGGTGGATCATTAGTAGAGATGGAACCATTTGATTCAGCAGAAACCTACGCCTCTTAATCTAATGCAGGGGTTGTCAACCAGGGGTATGCAGGAAAGCTCCAGGGGGCATGCAGCAGAGGTGTGGAGAAGCAGGGCACTTCTGGTTTTGTTGGTGGCATTTCTGGTTTTGCCACCGGTGCTTCTGCTTTCGCCACTGCTTGTGGCCCCCCTCATCAATCAGCTGCTGGCTGAACCCCCTCTCCCCACATTCATCAATTGGCAGGGGCACCTCCCTGCTTCTTAATTAGCCACTGGGGGTACACCAACTAAAAAAGGTTGAAAACCCCTGATCTAATGGAGTTATAGACAGGAGTAGCAAGATATTTTCTTCTACGTGGACCAGTTGCTAGAGAGGGATGAGATGCTGCTTTATTAGGAGTATTTACAGCCCAATTGCTAGGCAGCAGAGAAATGAAGTGACTTTGAAATCCTGGATCCTATTTCAAGATCTGACTGGAGTGTGCTTTTATTTCCAGGCCCTTCTTTCCTTGCCTGCTCAGATACAGAGTTTCTTCTGTTTCTGCTCTGCATCTTTCAGCTGGTGCCTTTCTCTATCACTTGACAGCTTGTCTCTGTCTGCTATGCTTCTTCTCTCGCTATAATCTAGCCTGGGAGCTTCATTTTCCCCACCCCCCATAATGTGCGCCAGCAGTGGGAGTATTATGTGCCTTTCTCTGTTCAGTCTCTATGTCCAAAGCTGCATTCTTTAGCTGTCAGGAGGGTTATTACTGGAAAAAAATCCTACTCTGCAATTTTAGGCTTGGGTTTGGGTATCGTTAGTGCATATGTTGCCAAAGTCCAATAGAATCTTAAAATTTGGACAGACTTTGATGTTTCTTCAGAGGAGGCAAATTATTTATACCTGACTTGAGGGATTTCAGTTCTCTGCATGAGTGATTGATGCCTCCTGAATCTGGGGGGACACCTGCAGAAGCTGCCCCCTGTCAGGGGGGCACCAGCCTTACGGACAGTATCAGTGTCAGCCATTGGGGGGGCACCAGCCCCATCAGTTGGGGCACATGCACCCCCTACCAGTTGCCTATGTTTCTCTGTTTGTACCTTAGTTACTCAAACATTTTGAAAACAATTTTGTAACTGGGACAAAACAACATGCTTTTCTTTAACTTATTCTGGGAAGCAGTTGAACTTACTTTGGTGAAATAATAAACATAATTTTGGACACCTTGCATGGAAAACTTCAGCCCAAACAGTTAAAATTTGGCAGTTATAAGTGACTAAAAGCAGAGCCTTATAATGGAATGGGTTAGTCAGCCTCCTCTCTAGGCATTGCACTAGTAGCTCTCCTTGTGATATAAAAATTTTATGTTCAGGGTCAAAAAGAATAAATGACAGGTAAATTTCATGTGCACAACATGTTTAACTTTATAAACAATGCAAATGAAAGCCACCGTGTTGCATTTATGGATGTATTTAACGTCATGCATGTGAATAATCTTATTTAGGCATGTCAAAAATATGACTAGCGGGTTGGTCTCAGACCCACCCTGTGTGCTGCATGCGTCATATGCTGGGTCTGGCCTTACATGTTGTATATCGGGGTGTCCAACCTTTTTGAATGTGGGGTCGGATCATGAACTTTTTATCACCCAGTCAGCTGGCAAGCCATATTCAGAGACCTCACAGGAAGTGGTATCACATCAGGAAGTGATGTCATGTAACCTTTGACACCAATGAAGTTGCAGGACGTGACAATAACATGGGTCTAACCAGTTCAAAACTCTCCCTCTATAGCATCCACCTCTGCCACTGTTCGGGACAGGATACTGAGCTAGATGGACCATGGGGCTGACCAAGCAGGGCACTTTTTATGCTCTTATGTTCAGAAGCTCTTATGTTTTTTGGCCGAACTTCCAAACTATGGCTGAGATTTGCAAAAAGGGGTACATAGGCATGTTACAAAGTTGTCATAAAAGATTTGGAGCCCTCTAAATCCCATTCATTTTAATGGAAGTTGGCCTTTTGACTCAGCTTTGAAAATCTCAGCCCAAAGCTGATGCGGTGCGTGCGGGAACCTTGTCCCTTCCCTAGCCCTTCAGCAGCCATTAGGAAGCTGCTGAGGGGTTGGTGGAGGGACAAGGGGTGGGAACGAAAGTAAATGGTGTTCACTTTTGTTTCCCATCGCAGCACTGCGGGCCTCAGAAAACAGCTTGGTGGGCAGCATGGCGGCCCATAGGCCATATGTTGGACAAGCCTGTAATGTGCATGGTGCACGAGTTGGTGACTGCACTACACTGACATTGTATGCTGGCTTCATGACTAGGCTGGCCCTGGCACATACTGGAGCCAGCACTCAGGGCCAGTCTTGTGGGACACTGCATGTAGTGCACACTCCAGACTGGTGCCAGCGCATGCTGCAGGAGCTGCCCATAATGGATGTCCCTGCATACTGGCTCCAGTGTGTGGGGAGATGTATGGCACCCCCATTTCCCTCATCTGGCTGGTGGGGCTGGATGAATTTGCTCTTAGTCAGTGGGACTACTCATAGGCATAAAGAACAAGTAAATGTGTTCAGAACTGGAGCCTAAATTCCCAGAATTCTGTGGAGATTTTCATTTTAAATAAATTTACACCCAGTTTCACAGAGGATGTTGCGTAAGAGCATAGTGTGGCTTAAGGATTTTAGTTGAGCTCAACCAGAGATTTGCATAAAAGTCCAGTGAACAGAGTCCTCCTTCTGGCCCAGCAGCATACAGGAAGCAAATTGGCTCAGTTATGCTCTCAGCTTCTTACAGACTTTTTTGGTGGGGATATACACGGGGTTACTGCTATTTCTGTGAAATCAGATGTGCTTTTTGAGATTGGAGCTAGAGCTCTGTCTGTTCTCTCCTCACCACATGCCCTTCCATCCATATGTGTGCAGGGTATGTAGAAGCTTCACAAGAGGCTTTCTCTTTCCTTGTTATAGCTATATAGTATGTGCACCTGGCGTAAACAATTTTGGGGATAACTTTTATCTTACTACTTGTGAAGACATACAGAATTGGCTACAGTCTGGCCCAGTGAATGTAAAAAGTCACAAAATAGTAATGTCTAGCTGTCTGTTAGAATAAGGAATGTTATATATATATTAGTATTTAAGATGTCAAAGTTCTATATGCTTTCTACACATTTTTGTGTATTTTTTTAAAATTAAAATTACAGTAAACAAGCAGCAGGCCAGGCCTGTACCTTCCGATATTGCAGTAATCATGTACACAAGTGGATCTACAGGAGTTCCAAAAGGAGTTATGATTTCTCATTGCAATCTTATTTCTGGTATAACTGGGATGGCAGAAAGGATTCCACATTTGGGGTATGTATCAGTAACCGAACCCAAGACAATTTTTATAAGGACATGTTGTAATTACATGAAGTTCTAGATCAGTGATTCTCAACCGGGGTATCATGCAATGTAAGCACTGTTAAGTATTAACAAAATAAGCCAAGAGTTTTCAACTAGGAATTCATAGTGTTAAAATATTCTAACCTAGGGTAGACTGAGCTCTTTCCAACAGAATTTTTTTTCCACAAAGAATTAGTGAAAACTAAGAGCTGGCATTTTCTGAGGGGGGGACATCATTCTAAAAAGGTTGAGAACTGCTGTTCTAGATCAATTGTTATTGAACATGTTAGCTGTTTCATATGGATTTTTAAGTCATATTTTGCATCACACTTACCATTCTGATATACTGGAGTGCTTGCCAGAAGTGCTTAAAGTGATGCGATTAATGTTTTTTGTGCTGTTTTTCCCTCATACTGTCCTTTTATAGAGGAAAATACATGCAGTGAAATGTCTTGTTTTGATAAGATTAGGTCTTGTTTGATAAGATAAGGTCAAAGCATTCACTGCCATGTACCTTCTACATGGAACAAAATAGGTAGAATTTTGGTCCTTTGTTCTTCTGGGAACTCCTTCTAGTCTCAGATTGGCCCTGTAGAAAGTATCACCTCTCACAGATGAGCTTTACTGTTATAGTAGAAACTTGCATTGTGTTGGTGGAGCAATTTTTTTCATTTGCGAGCAGGCATTGGACTGTTTTCTTCAGGTTTTTTCAAAGGGAGTGCTATTAATTTGCTTGCCTACTTCAAGCTAAGGGCATGACCTCTTCATAGATTCATAGATTAAGGGTCGGAAGGGACCTAGTAGATCTTCTAGCCCGACCCCCCGCCAGGGCGGGAGAACAACAAAAAACCCCAAAAAGAGAAATGGGACTCAAACGAGTTCAGCCAGGTAGGCATCCAGCCTCTTCTTAAAGACTCTCTTACTGGGAGAAAAGTTAAAGCATGTATTGTCAATATTTTGAATCTTTAAAAACCTGAAAAAAATAGCCAAGAGAATGGAAGGATGTATACAAGGACAGAGCTGTAGTACCCAATGCTGCCTAGATTCCATAAAGTACTGTGAGTTCATCGTTATGCTTGGGAATGCTAAAGCTGTTGGAGAAGTCCCAGTACGAGCATGACAGAGAGGGCTTAAAACTCATCATAGGCCACTCCCCTTTCTAGTTCGTTGCTGCGGTTGTACTTGACTTGTATTGAATTGTGCCCATTGAGATTTCTTTGTCACTTCAGTTGCAGGTGATCATTCTAAAATTTTTTGTTGCCTGTTAAGGAAAGCAAATAACGTGCTTTGCTTATCTGTCCCAGATTTAAAGCAGACACTTCACAAATTCTGAAACAAACCCTTGTGCTCAATAATATGAAATTAGTTCTTAGATACAGACATACTTTCACCCCTTCTAGTTCCCTAGGATGTTTCATTTATATTAAGATTAATGGTTCTCCTGAAAATGCTAAATAGTTTTACAGTGCAATTGTGTCTTTTAAAACTATTTTCAGGGAAAAAGACGTCTATATTGGCTATTTGCCTCTTGCTCATGTGCTGGAGTTAAGTGCTGAACTTGTCTGTTTATCCCATGGATGCCGTATTGGCTACTCATCACCTCAGACATTATCTGATCAGGTACGTAGTTTATGTATGTCAGACAAGGAGTTTTTTTTAACACTTTTAATTTGTTTCAAAATATTATAGGAAAGAAATGGTGGAAACTTCTTATTTTCAAAATATGAATCAGTATATTATGTATCAGAAATAATACTGGTCTGATTTTCAGCTTTTAAAGTGAAAGCTATGTAAACTCTTCAAGTTTAGGTGAATTATCGTATTTCTTTTTGCATGATAAAATTTTGTGCATAACCTCCTATTTTTTTCTCTTAGTCCTCCAAAATAAAGAAAGGAAGTAAAGGAGATATTACTGTGCTCAAACCAACCCTAATGGCAGCTGTACCAGTAAGTTTAATACCTTTTTAAAGGTATTTCATTGTTCAAATGGTGGCTGATTAATTCCAGTTTTGTCTAAAACACGGTTGCAGAATGGACTGAGAATGGTAGGTGCATTGGATGAGGAGAGCTGACCCTTATGTTTGTTTTTGTTGTAGATGCTTGTGTTCTGCATCCTGATATGTTAATTCTCAAAGCAAATGTAACACCTTGGATCATTGTGTACCATGTCTTGCACTCGTGAGTTTGTTGTTCCCTTGAGCATCGTTGCATTGACTCAAGGTTGTGTTTAAACAACCCTTTCATCTTTTAAATGCTGACCATGGACATGGCTACCAGAGCACAGTTGTCCATAAAAGGGCTGGTTATTTTTGGAGCTGTGATTGATTATCAGACATCCTAACAGCATGAGAAGACTGTCCTTGTTGCATCTCCATAATCATAATACTTATAACTTAGCATATATGATCAGTATGGAACTTAGGAAACTATATTGTCTTTTTGTTTTCTTTATTATTCTTAAACCATTTAAATTACAGTCAAATGGCTTTTAATAGCTATGGTTTATGCAGTTTTCACCAGACTAAAGAGGTTAGGCCTGTCTTTTAGACTTTCTATTTTATTTACAATGTTATGCATCCACTAATCCATAATTTTGAAGACTCTGCTGGCTTTAGAATTTTTTTTTGGAAACTGAATTTTATAGAAGAGGTGCTTAATTAATGTAAAACTTAGTGCCTGTGTCATCCAGGGAGGTGATTGGCTTTTAAGAATAGACCAGTTTATTACCTCACTCTTTTTAAAACTAATAGTGCAAAATGTGAATGTATGAGTGCAGAGCAGCCCAAGATGACTTGCATATCTTCCTAGGAATGGGTATCAGATCCAAGTCATTAGCAAATAGAAGTTCCTGGACATGTTCCTAGAGCATGATTTTTCACTTGAAGCTGTCTGGGTTTAAACAGCTTTGATTATAATTTGAATACCTTTATTGAAATCATATAAGCAAGGAACAATATGGTGGCAAACGATGCATTGAATAGTATTGATGCAGGAATACAGCCTTCTCTTGCATCATTTATTACTAGACGTAGAATGGAGGATATCTCTATCTTCCATGGCTACTACATCACCTCCCTATGAAATTGTCTAACCTTCGCAGTGAAATTAGTAAATTCATAAATTGGTCAGGGCATCAAATCTTAGAAATGTCAGCATGCCTTCTGCTGATAGTGACAAAGGACTTTTTTGTGTAGAGCAATAAGGACACAATATTCTGCTCTGTGCATTTTTTTTTATATTTGCTGTGCAGCAAGTAGGTCTGATGTTCCTCTTTCTTTAGAAATGCCCTAGCCTTCAGGCAGCAATTTCTCAGCAACATGGCAAGTTAAAGTGGTTTGGCATCTTTCTTGGAAAAATCTTGAAAGGAATCTCTAATAAGGAGGTTTCCTAATGATTGTTGCATATTAAATGATTACTCTGTGTGGGTGTGTGGACAAAAGAAATTTCTGAATATTCTGGGAGGGTCACTTCTTAATGCCATGTTGACAGAAAAGATATTTGATACACTGGATTAAATAGTCTCTGCCAGCTATGTACATTTCATCCAGAATGGCATCAGGTTAGGTCCTTTGATCATCTTTTTTGGTCTCTGAGACATTAAGCTGTGTAGAAAGAATTCCATTAACAGCACACTGAAGTATTTCATCAATAGCCTCATTACTGATGTTGGATTCTTTTTGAAACAGGCTTTCAAAATAGTTAGGCCATCTTTCCATAATTTAGTTCTTTTCTTTCAGAAGAATGTTTCCATCTGACCTCATAAGAGGATTGGAAGTCCTGAAAGAGGCCCATACCCTATTTTAAGAACATCATACAGCTTCTCCATGTCATTTCAGTTCAAGTGTGGCGAGCTCATTAGCTTTCTTGTTTCACTTGGATCTCAGTTTAGATTTGAAGAATATTATGCATGTTGTTAAAAGCAGTTTTCTTGAATATTGGTATTTTAGCAGTCACCCAAGCGGACTGGTGATAGATCTCACCAAGCTGTCTCTCATGTTCTCCTTGACCTGTTTTGATGTTTTTGGACTGTTGAACCCCAAGAGTTCAAAACAGCGATGTAGGTAGACTCCTTCTAGGATTTCCAGTTGGCTTCATTGACAATCAAAGTTGTATTAACAACATTCAGCTCAGTTTCTTGAAGCATGTCCAGTTAGCTTCAGTGATGCCAGAGGTTGTATTCAGCTGATAGCTGCCATTTTGTGTGGCTCTTGTCTAAAGGATAAACCTTGGATCTGGTCACATACAGCTTCTTCAAAGGCTTTTTGTTCTGGGGATTTGTAGGTGGTTTGACATGTATGTTGAAATTTGCACAGATGAGATGACGATCCTTTCATGGGCTTGGTAATCTTGATATCATGGATATTTCTTTGCCTGGTAATGTTGCAATCAAATGTCAATATTTGGGACAGGGGCGATTCCAGGAAGTGTTTTATGGGGAGCTAAAATATAGTCTTCGTAATTACAAAACTGGTGTGCTCCCTTTTGGAGTAACAGACTGTTGCTGTTGCCCTTTCCTTTTCCTTTTCCATTTTCACCAAACTGTCAGGTTATTTGGTGTGACCCGATATGGATATTGAAGTCATCCAGAACTATGAGTTTGTCTTACGATTTGTTAACATTCATGCCTTTCGGATGACAACACGGTTTGGAAACATGCATAAAAAAGTTGAAAAAACTTAATGTATCTCCTGATATTTCAGCTTGTGTCACTCTTTACTGCATACAGTAGGTAACCTAGATGTCATTTACATGCGTGTACTTAAATATGATCTGTAGGCTAGATTTTTATTACATTTGTCCAACAACATGCACATTTTAAGCACATTTAAAATTTTAAGCAAAATTTAAATAGCATGAAAAATTCATTCTCTTGTCTTCTAAAAAGAATTGTGCCTGACAATGAGTCTGCCAACTCTTCATAAAAAGATTGTGGAAAATGGGCCTTGTGATAAATTTCCATACATTTGTAGGCTTAAGGGGAGGAAGGAGGGGAAGACGTGCATACTTTGAAAAGTATATGTTATTTATAAAATACATTACTTTTTGCAGTAAGTTAAGCTATTGAGATACCATGCAGTGCAAACTATTAGAATAAAATATTTTAGTCGCCATACTCTTTGTATATTAAAACTTTATAACTGTCTTAATTAATCTATATCTTGCCATTTAACCTTAAATCTAGGGCACTGTCCCTTTGTAGGCTCTACTAGCAATGAAGGCATGGCAAGAAGGCTATAGGGATTTATCCCCTAAAATAAGAATCAGAAACAATCTTGTCTATTGCACTTGAAAATACTGAGATAGCTAGCTGATACACTGGCTTCCACATCACGTTTGCCAATAGAGCGTGAGAAACTGGTTAGGAGATGCATAGACTCCAATACACTTTAGCTGCAGTCAGCAACAAACATTAATTATCAGTAGGTAGGTCAGAATTGCATAGTGTTCTGCTCAAATTTTATTCCTTGGCCTGCCTGACAGATTTTGCTCCAGGTAACGAATAGAAGAGGGAAAAACGGCAGTGATTTTGTTGCTTGAAACTGTACTGGCATTTCTAGACCATAGGTTTTTATGAAATGCATTTTAGTATTGATATTAACGTAGTCATATTTAATCTTTTTTCTGTAATTAGGAAATTATGGATCGGATCTACAAAAATGTTATGAATAAAGTGAATGAAATGTCCAGTTTCCAGCGGAATCTATTTATATTGGCTTACAATTATAAAATGGACCAAATTTCAAAAGGCTACACTACACCACTCTGTGACAGGTAAATTTTTCCATTCTGTTTTTATTCATATATTTGTTTTAAATACTCATCAAAATGGTAGTTGCATTGGATGAGGAGAGCTGACCCTGATGTTGACATTATTGGCAATTGGCTCCTTTTGGTTGATGTGGCTGATTAATGTCCCAGATAAATGCTGCATGAATGTGAGCAGCCACAGCATGCGTGCGGGCCAGCCTGGCAGTTGGTAAGTCTTTGGGGGAGGGAAGTAGGGGAGTGGGGGGGAGAGAGAGAGGCCCCTGCAGTGAGAGAGGGAATGGGGCTGGGGCAGGCTCTTCCCAGTCAGGGCACAGTGGGGCGCGGGACAGAGATGCGAGCAGCTCATCCAGGGGTCACGGGAGGGAGGGGAGGCTATTCCTGCCACTGCATGCACCCCTGGGAGAGGTATGAGGGAGCATGTGCCCCCAGCTCTGTGTGGGGTGATTGTGGGATGCCGCTGCGGGCTGGGGCTGAGGCAGTGTTGGGCTGTTCCTGGCAGGGCGGTGTCAGGGCTGCTTTTGGGGTGGGTGGCGGCCGTGCTGGGAGGAGGGGGTTTGGAGGGGGCTACAGTGAAGTCTGGCATGGCTTTAGCCCACCCTGTAGCTCCTTCCCTGAGCACAGCCCCAACCCAGCTTCCTTCCCACTGGGGGAAAAACCCAGCACCGCACTGGCAACCTGGCTTCACCCTGTGTTCAGGTCTGGGGGGCACAAGCCCCCCCATGCCTCCCCCAGGGGTGTTTGCAGTGGCAGGAGCAGCCTCCCCCCTGTAACCCTGCTTGGGTAAGCTGCTCACGGCTTCGTCCCGCGCACTGCCCCAGCTGGGCAGCGCCTGTCCTAGTCCCAGCCCCACTCCTTTCCTCACCATGGGGGCCTCAATCTGCCCCGCTCACACCCTTTCCTTCCCCCCTCTTCTCCCCACCCCCTTCCTTCTTTCCCTCCTTCCCCCACTCCGCCTGTTTCCCCCCAACAGACTTGCTCTGTCCAAGCAGCTGGGCTGCTTATCGGCAATCAGGTAATGGCCGATATGGCTCATTAATAATCGGCCACTGGTATCAGCCCAAAAAATCTTTATTGGTGCACCCCTAACGAATACAAATTTTGCCAGCTAGGTATATGTTTTAGTCCTCAGTAAATTTCTCCAGTTATCTGATAATGTTTAATAAGAAACAGATCATAGGGCTTTACAGTTTCAATAATACATCCCTAAGACTGTTTTCATCATCCTGCCAAGTAATATATGAAAATAAAAGCTAAAAACTTTTCATGTGAATTTTTGTCAAAAAACTTAAAATTTAGCATGCTGTTTTATGAAACTAAAATTATATTACATTGCAAAATTAAGAAAGATATTTGAAGTCAGTGTAAGCTTTAGAGGTTTTTTCCCTGTCCCAAACAATAAAAATATCTTTTTGTCGTTTTTGGTCTTTTTAGCCTTATCTTTCACAAAGTACGAATGCTGCTAGGTGGCAGAATTCGCATTCTTCTGTGTGGAGGAGCTCCACTTTCTGCAGTAACTCAGCGATTTATGAACATATGTTTCTGCTGTCCTGTGGGACAGGGATATGGCCTAACTGAATCTTCTGGGGCTGGAACGATCACCGATGGTCAGTATTCACCTTGCTCATCTGAAAACTGTGGTCTGTGTTTGTATATTCTCCAGCAGTGATTTTGTTTTGTGTAGAGGTAGAATATGTAAATGAACATTGCTGTGTATATGTAGTCACAAATTTTTTTATATATAATGTAATGAACACAATTTCTAAGACTTGAATCAAGTCAGCCTTATTGACTTGGCTAGGGAAAGCTGAACTGTGTGCAAGTAAGATGCTTTAGAGCAGAGGTTTAAAACATATGGCCCCCAGAGCCTGGTTATCTAGTTCAGACTTTTGTCCCAACTAGTCGGCCTTCCTGCAGTGGCAGCTAGTGCCTGGGTGAGACGCAGGATTCTAGAGCCCCAGCAGCCCCACAGGAAGAACCCTAGCATCATGGCTTGTTTCTGCAGTGGTAACCAAATGCCCATGATACCAGGCCTCTTCCTGCAGTACTGCTGAAGGCTTAAGCAACACGGCTCTTGCCCAAGTACTTGGCTGCCACTGAAGAGACAAGCCATGGTATCAGACTTCTTGCAGTGCTGCTGAAGCGCCAGTGCTGCAGCTCTTGTCCAGGTGCTTGGCTGTTGCCACAGAAAGAGACTGTGGTGATGCTGGAGCTCCATTGCCATGGCTCTCGCCAGCTTGGCTGCCGAACTCTCGGGAGAGAAGGGAACTGCTGGAGGGGGAAAAAGCCCCTCACCATGGCTTGTTCCTGTGGTTGCAGCCAAGCACCAAGGATACTGGGTCCCTTCCTGATGGGTCCTGGACCAGCTACAGTGGGTATCACATCTACCGGATCTGGCATGTGGGGAAGGGAGCATCTGTGGGCCTGATCCATGCCATTAATCTGGCATCTGGACTAGTCCTGCATCACAGTTCTGGCTCAGAGGGCCAGATAAGTTTGACACCCCTGCTTTAAATAAACCTGAGTAACAGTAAATACTAACAATCAGGGATCCTGGTTTTCCCTGATAAACAACCAACCAAATTCTCTACTAAAAAATCACAAATTTATGTGTAAAATTAAAGGCCCCGAACCCCCCTGGCCCTGTTAGCACCCTTCACTCCCCACCCACAGCCCCTGCTCCCCCAACCCTGCTGGAGAGGGCCCCCAGCTGCCAGGGCTACGGACCTGGGTCTGCAGCCCTTTGCCCCCACTCCCCCCCTGCTGTGGGCTTGGGCGGGGCAGCTGCCTGTTGCCGCATGTGCTCCCAGGGGGCAGGGAGGACCCATGCCCCACAGATCTGTACCTGGGCCAGGCACAGGGTGAGGCTGCTGCCCAGCTAGGTGGGGCTTGGGGTCCAGGGCTGCAGTGTGCAGCTACAGGGCCCCAGCAGGGGGCCGCTGGTAGCTCATCCAGGGGAGAGGAAGGGCCGACTTCCTGCTGCCGTGTGTACTCCTGGGGGGCAGGTGGGACCCCGTCCCCCAGATCTGTACCTGGGGCAGGTGCAGGCTGCAGGCTCAAGCTTCTGCCCTGCTTCCCTCCCCTAGGGCCTCCCCAGCCTGGCAGGTGTGACCCAACATGGCTGGGGACAGCAGGGCCACATGGAGATTCCTTGCTACTGCGAGCAGCCCCCCTACTGCCCTGGCAATGTGCCTTCAGCACTTGCTGCTGCTTTGAGGGGTGCAGCCCCATGCTGCAGCCCTTGCTGCAGCCCCACGGCAGAGGGAAGCAGGGCGTCAGCGGAGGGACAGCTCACAGCAGCGAGGAATCCCTGCATGGCCCTGCTGTCCCCAGCCGCACCAGGTCGCCCTGAAGGAGGGAAGCCGGGTGGAAGCTCAAGCCGGCAGCCTGCTCCTGCCCCTGCAGCCACACATTATGGCGCTGGGCCCTAAACCCTGCCTGGCTAGGCAGCAGCTCCAGCCCTGCCCAGCTCCCTTCCTCCAGGGGCCTCAACCCCTCTTTCCTGTTGCACTTACCTGCTGGAGCTGCTCTGCAGGCTGCCTGGGGCCATGTGCATTTCTATGTACATGGTGTCCCATGTCTTTCTGCCTTGATCCCACTTCCTCTCCTCTCCCTGCAGGCTGGAACTCTGCTAGCCTGCAGGGAGCTCATTGCAAAATAGCAAAATCCACGGGTTTCTTTAGTAAAATGAGAAATCCACATTTGCCTCTGGTAAAAGGCAGACTCCACAGTTTACTCTGTTTTTCCATGGGAAATGGAAAACCCAGATCCCTGCTAATAATACTTTTCTGTGCTATTTGTAAGAGTATCCAATGTAATGCCCAATGTGCTGTGCTGTGCTTTTTCTTCCCCTCAAAAAAGCTAAAGCCTGAAATGCATTTCACACAAATGGTGAGTCAATTCATAGAAACTTAAGTTTTTAAGGTAGTTAATGAGCCTTTTATTTTATTTTTTTTAATTGAAGTGACCTAGGAAAAAACAGGGAAGAGCTCTTTAAAAAAAAAAAATCTAAAATAATATTTCCAGAATAAAAATATCATAATTTAAAAGTGTAATTCATATAGTTTAATTTGGATCCTTTGGAATGTTTCCCTTTTCCAAAGTATTCCAGTATTTCTAGTTTTAGACTTGCAGGGTCATAAGATTATATATAAACCTTAGATTTGTCAGTGGCCCAAGGCCAAATACTGTCTACCTTGAGACTTGAGGGGATTTTGCATTTTAGAACAAAGACAGAAAAAATCACGTGAGAATACTGTTTTTAAAAAAGTGCTGCTGTTTTCAGCTGCTTACAGTTATGAAATGTTGGAACTCTTCCCTGAGGGAGACAGATTAGAGAGCAAAGCCTGAGGGATGTTGTCAGAGGTGTATAGTGAATTAATTTGAACCAGGGTTCCCCAAAGTCACATGGATAATATCATAAGATATTATACATAAGAATGTTAGAGCATACCACGGGATATTCAGCTGAATCAGTGCATACTTATTCATATTCTATAAATATCATAATTAATCAGTTGTAGCTTCTGGGTACTTAACACTTGAAGTATCAGGTAACTTCTTTAGATACATTCTTAAGCCTATGCATAGGTAACTTCAGGCAGCTTATTTTAGAAAAATGCGGTCACCTAAAAATGCATCTAAATTTTGTAGAGACCATATCAAATTCACACAGTAAAAGTAGTAGAAAAGTAAGTATAGCAAACATTAACTACTATACATTTGTCAAAACACCACATGGTATCTAGGAATAGTATACATTATGCTAAGTTTTAATTTTATATAGGCCACTTTTTATTATTGCCAGTGAAAAATTAAGATGTATTTGAACAGTGGACAGCATATTCTTCTCCTTTTATTTTGAAGCATAAACAAAAACTCACTTTGGTTTTAGTAGAGGATACCTCTTGTATCCTTGTTATATTCAGGAGGCATCGAATTTGACATCTGTCATTAGGCAGAAGGTGGAGTTGCATGTCCTTTTTGGTGTATAGAACTGCAAAACATCAGGTTCTCCTTGAAATAATTGTCCACATATACAGTTGCCCTATTTCTGGCTTATGGGTGTTTTTAATCTGATCCCTTAATTAGAGACATTTTCCCTTAGCATAAGGGGAATTATTTTGGCTGGAGGGTCACTTGAGGAATTTTGAGCTGTTGTGGTCTGGGGAGGTGCTGAACTGGGGCTTTGTGGGTGGGGAGGCATTTGATTCTATGTGGCCCTAGGCTTATCTGCCCAGCACCTATCCCTGGAGGGTGGTAGATGGAGCGGGTGGATGGGCAGTCTCCATGGAGACCAGCCAGGACTGCTGCAGGCAGGGCATACTCAGCCAGGTGGACGGGGTAGGGCCCTAGGCAGGTGGGGAGCAGCATCTGGGAGCGGGACAGGTGGGCAGAGGCCGGGTCTGGGATCGTGTGGCGGTGACAGTGTGCGGCTGGAGGCCAGGGCCCAAGACAGAGTTGTGATCCACTCCCCATACATTCCTGTGACAGATATTGTTCTACAGACAGGTGTATGGAGAACAGATCATGGCTCTGCCCCAGGCCCTGGCCCCATAGTGTTGCAGCCCTGTGGTCCTGGACCTGGCCCCTGCCCACCCGTCCTACTCCCAAATGCCACTCCCTGCTCACCCGATCTGCCTGACTGAGCATGCTGTGCCTGCAGCAGTTCTGGGGCAGTCTCCATGGAGACCCTGCCTACCCGCACTTCCTCTCCATCTAGCACCCGTGGCTGTGGTGCCCAGACAGTGGGGCCAGGTCTGGCAGTAGTGGAGATACTAGTGGTTGTGGCCAGAAGGGGCTGCCATTGTAGGGGCTGCCAGGAAGTGGAGACCAACCAACGCCACATCTCTGCCACGTGCCTGGGGGTGGCTGGCCCAGCTACATACA